CCCCCCCCCCGCGGGATGCCAGCCTGCGGCAAGTGCAGCCGGGCTGATGGCCGAGTGCTGTGATATGCCGAGTGTGGGCACTCAGGGCACTCCAAGCCGGGACTGCTTTGCTGTCCCTCATCAAGTTAGACAAGCGAGAGGGGAACCCCTGAGAACTGTCTGTCCGGGGTGGGGGTCGGGTCCCTTTAAGCACAGCCCTCAGCTAGCCTGAGACAGCAGCTCCACGCTCTAAATCCTCATCTGATGCCCTGCCGGCACTGCTTCCGGCCAACCTTAACCTCGGTTCAGGGTCCACTGAATGTGGACATGCTAGTTTGAGGTAGCAAAATGCTAATTCAAACTAGTTTTTAGGTCTAGCTGCGCTAATTCGAATTAGCTTAGTTTGAATTAACTAATTCGAATTAAGTTAGTTCAAATTAGTGCTGTAGTGTAGACATACCCTCTGAGTGCTGCAGGGAGGGAAGAGGCCAGGCAGGAATGGGAACTGAGCAGCGCTGGCAGGAGCAGGAGAAGCAGCAGCAGCAGCAGCAGTGCCCGGAGCGACGGGGCAGCGAGCGGTGCCATTCTCCTGACCCGTGCCCAGGGGCTGCGGGGAAGGAAGGGGCCAGGCAGGAATTGGGACCAAGCAGCAGCGCCCTGAGCGACAGGGCAACGAGCAGGGCCATTCTCCCAGCCCGTGTCCGGGGGCTGTAGGGAGGGAAGGGGCCAGGCCACCCGAATCAACTACTGTACAGGTAATCCCCATTATCTGACATTTTCGTTAATCCGACCACCTGTCGGTCCCATTTAGGTCAGATAATCGGGACTCTACTGTACATAGTGAGGTCTCCAAGCACCTTGGACACGTATTTTCCACATATTCATGAATGATCTGGAAAAAAGGTGAAAATGAGAGATGATGAAGGTTGCAGACAATATAAAGTAACTCAAGTCAGGTTGAAAGCTGGCTGGAAAAGTAACTAAGGGACCTTACAAAATGGGGTGACTGGGTAACAGATTGGCAGTTGAAATTCAGTGGTAAGTGCAAAGTAATGCACATTGGAGAACATAATTCCAACAGTGTATACAAAACAATGAAGTCTAAATTAGTTCTTCCTACTCAAGAAAGAGATTTTGAATTGATTGTAGACAATTCTCTGAAAACAACTGCACAGTGTGCAGCTGCAATAAAAAAAGCTAACAATGTTAGAAGCCATTGACAAAGGGATAGAAATAAGTCATAAAATATAATAACAGTGTCACATAAATCCATACAATGCCGGCACCTTGACTACTTCATGCAGTTCTGATCTCATCTGAAAAAAGGTATTTTAGAATTGGAAAAAGTACAGAGAAGGGCAACAAAAATGATTACAGGCCATTGAACAGCTTCTATGTAAAGAGAGATTTAAAAGACTAAGACTCAGCTCAGAAAAGAGAGAGCAAAAGGGGGATACGATAGAGGTTTCTAAAATCATGCATGGTGTGGACAAGGTGAGTAAGGAAGTGTTATATGCCCCTTCTCATAACACATGAAACAGAGGTCACCAGATGTAATTAATAGGCAGCAGGTTTAAAACAAACATAAAACAAACATCTACTGCTTCTCACAGTGCTCAATCAACCAGTGATTGAAGTGAGATGTTGTGAAGGCCAAAATCATAACTGGATTCAAACAAGAATTTGATCAATTTATGGAGGGTGAAGTTGGGATTGGATGACAAGGGAAGGATCACTAGTTAATTGCCCCCTTCTTTTCATTCTCTCTGAAGTATCTGGCATTGACTGCTGTTGGGAGATGGGCTATATGGACTGTTGGTCTGACCCAATATGGCCATTCTTATGTTCTTAAATGAAAATAATGAAATGAACTAGCATGGCGTCTCAGTGGAGGCAGCTGGGCGTGAGAGGGATACATTCTAGGGATGTGAATGGGTAGTGAGTAGTCAATAAGCAGAAGCTTATCGGGTAGCACCATCAACCACTCAGTCACCCTCCCCCCCTTCCCTTCCGCCACTCTGCACTCTTAAAGGGACAGAGAGGAGCTGGCGCGCAAAGACACTGCTCAGTCTCTGGTCCCTTGCTGGGTTTCAGGACAGCCCTCCCCCATGCGGCCACTCTGCATTCTGAAAGGGACAGAGAAGCGGCAGCTGATCCCTCAGATCTCTCAGCACAAGTATCTCTCTCCTCCCCCACACACCCCTGGCAGCCATTCTACATTTTTAAAGGGACAGAGCAGTGGCAGCTCATCCCATGGATCTCTCTCAGCACAAGCCCTCCCCCGAGGCTTGTCCTGAGACTCAGTGGGGGACCAGAGTCTGAGTCAGCGTCTTTTTCCCTTTAAGAGTGCAGAGCAGCAGCCAGGAGTTGTACTGAGACCCAATGGAAATTCCATCAACTACTCGACTAGCAAATGAATCGCTACTTAACATCCCTAATGCATTCAATATCATAATATCAATGGTTTAAATGGTAAACAACATGACTTTTTGTATTTGTACAGTCCCAAGAGTATTGCAGGTGCTTCTAGAAATACATAATAATGGCTTTATGTAGGCTATATAATCTCCTTATATATGGCTAACGTACTATATTTTCAGTTTCTAGTATTATTTTTCCAGATAATAGATGGGATGATCCTATCAAAATTTATATTACTTTTCTTTACTTAAGTTTTTATCCAATGAGTTTCAATGGATTAAAAGTTAGCAAAGCTTAGTTTTAGCTAAATTTGACAAGATAAATCTTAATTGCCCCAGATTATAATG